CTGGTTCCCCTTCTCTCTGGGAAGTCTGTTGTTGGCTGTCGATGGATATACACGGTCAAAATTGGTCCTGATGGTCAGGTGCAAGGTAGTCAAAATTGGGATTTTACCTAAAATCGAAAAGGGAATAAAAAATCGTAAATCGTAAAATCGTAATAAAAATCGTAGATTTTACCTGCACTCTAAAATTAAATTTTTATACACATATGCTTATGTATAAAAAAATTTAAGAAAAATAGACTACCTGCCACCATCCTTATACATTTGTATACAATTGTCACACTCTAAGGGTCTAAGCTAATAAATCATTCAAGTTATTATCATCGAAGACATTCTGTTCCACGTGATCTTCAACTACATCATTCAAAATTGTCTTCATCTAAACTTTCATCATGAGATAAAGTTTCTTCATTTTCCACAATCCATTCATCTTCGGATGAAACATCAGCAATGTTATATTCAACAATTTTTCTAACTTACTTAACATCATTCCAATAGTTAAAATCGGGATTTAAATCTTAAAATCGGACTTAAGTAAATGTCTAAATCGGGATTTTATATTGGAAAGGATTTTAAGTGAAATCTAAATCGTTTTAGCAAAAAAATCGTTAAAATCGGGATTTTAAGATTTAAATCCTGATTTTAACTACCATGGTCAGGTGGACCGTCTCAAGGCCCGCTTGGTGGCTAAAGGTTATACTCAGGTATTTGGCCTTGACTATGGTGACACATTTTCTCCCGTGGCGAAAATGACTTCTGTTCGCCTCTTTATTATTATGGCAGCTATTCATCACTGGCCTATGTATCAGCTGGACATAAAGAATGCTTTCCTCCATGGTGATCTGCGGGAAGAGGTTTATATGGAGCAACCTCCTGGGTTTGTTGCTCAGGGGGAGTCTAACCTAGTTTGTCGTCTCTGAAAATCCTTGTATGGTCTCAAGCAGTCTCCCCGGGCTTGGTTTGGAAGGTTTAGCACTGTTGTACAACAGTTTGGCATGACTCGAAGTGAGGCTGATCGCTCAGTCTTTTATAGACACTCTGATTCAGGTTCTACTTATTTGGTAGTATATGTTGAGGATATCGTCATTACAGGTAATGATACTCATGGCATAACTAAGATAAAACAACATTTGTGCCATCATTTTCAAACAAATGACCTTGGAAGACTCCGATATTTCTTAGGGATAGAAGTGGCCCAATCCAAAGATGGCATTGTACTATCACAGAGAAAATATGTTATGGATATTCTTGAGGAGACAACATTGTTGAATGCTAAGCCTGTCGATACTCCTATGGATCCAAATGTCAAGCTTTTGCCAAATCAGGGGGAGCTATTTTCTAATCCGGAAAGGTATAGAAGATTGGTTGGGAAACTGAACTATCTCACAGTTACTCGACGAGACATTTTCTTTGCAGTCAGTGTAGTAAGTCAGTTCTTGAATTCTCCCTGTGAAGATCACTGGAATGCAGTAATCCGTATCCTCAAGTACATCAAGACTGCTCCTGGCAAAGGTCTTCTCTATGAAAACAAAGGTCATACCAGAGTTGTAGGATACTCAGATGCTGATTGGACAGGTTCTCTTATTGATAGAAGATCCACTTCTGGGTATTGTGTATTCGTTGGAGATAACTTGATTTCCTGGAGAAGTAAGAAGCAAAGTGTAGTTGCTAGATCAAGTGGTGAAGCAGAATATCGCTCCATGGCCACAGCTACCTGTGAACTCATCTGGTTAAAACAGCTACTGAAGGAACTCAAGTTTGGAGACACTAGCCCAACATCTCTCATTTGTGATAATCAAGCTGCTTTTCATATTGCTTCAAATCCAGTGTTTCATGAAAGGACTAAGCACATTGAGATAGATTGTCATTTCTTTAGAGAAAAAGTTCTCTCAGGAGATATAGTCACTCGTTTTGTCAACTCAAATGATCACTTAGCTGATGTATTCACTAAGTCTTTGAGAGGACCTAGGATAGACCAGATATGTAACAAGTTTGGTGCATACGATCTATATGCTCCAGCTTGAGGGGGAGTGTTGCTGTACATAGTATAGAAGTCCTACATTGTGTATATGTCTTTGTATTTCTTATTTGGTTTAATATATAAATGAAATCTCCTTCGTGTAGTTGACACAAGGATTACAGTCAAATGCCTCTTGTATTTCTGATAGTTAACAATATCTATGTACTACTGGTAGTATATAGTGTAAATTATACACGTCACTTTTTTTTCTTCAGTACAAAAATAGCGAAGGTGACATACTTCTATTGGCTGGGCACACCTACGTCGGTTGTATTATAGATTTTTTGCTAAAAGTGATGGGCTACAATTTTGACAGAAGACCACTTCACTATTGTGGGCAAAAAAAACAAAATATGCTTATTAATTACTTCATACTATTTAATTTGGTTAATACGATCAGACATTCGGCTCAGCTTACTACATTAATCACTAGAGAATGTCGCTTGGATTGGATAAAAGGAGGAGGAAATTTCTGAAACAACCAACTAAAGCAACCATGATTTTCCAACTAACACCAACTCTTTCATAATGTGGATAATTTAGTAATAAAATATCAATAGTAATAGACTAAGAACCCAATTAATGGTTGCTACCGGAATATCTTCTAATTAACTCAAATTGACTAATTACCCACATCTTGCAACATAATAATAGTAACAAATAACAAAAACAAATATACTTTCATCAAATTCAAATATAATTTTCTCCTCACCGATTAAAGTATATATTTTTATTTAAGTATAACTTTGCCATTTTCCTAAACTTTGTGAGTTTGAAAGCATATCAATATGACTAGAATTACTAAGGAGAACTGAACTGATTTGACTAAGAGGTTGAGCCTATCGTGAGAAAAGGAAAATAAAACCACATGGGCATAGAAAAGTAATATATGCGTAATTGTTAGTTTAGAGGTCCACCTAAAAAGCGTGTGTTACTAACATTATGATTCGTTAAAACCAAACTCAAACTACGAAATTACATTAGTTAGAAGTTCTGAAAGCATCATTACTTGAGAAACACTTCAAACAATAATTAAAGAGTCTCTAAAAAAGTGACTTTTCCTTAACCTTAATAAATACTGTTTGCGAACTTAAACATGGTCCCATCCCATTGATATCAGTTGGATAATTGAGACGGCACGGTAGGGTTTGACCCTACAGCTGTCATGTCTTTAGAAGACCAAGTCACCAAGACCTGCTAGGTACTATTTGAGAGTCAAGAAAAGCGAATGAGAAAAGAAGAGGCAACTTGATGGGATGGGAATTGATGGGCCTCTTTACTTATAGCATTCATTGTGGCTGATGACATTTTTTGGTGATCAAACTATATGAGCGGCAATAATTTTAGCTTAAGCAACAAGAAACTGAGCAAAGTCTAGCCCAAGTATGGTATCATTCTAACCATTTAATGACTAGAAGTCCTATTAGATTAGACAATGATCATCTTATTATATTTGACTTATTTTATATTATATTTCTAGCATTCCCGAAAGATGAGAGCTCATTGAGTTTGATACGAAATGAATAATGCAAAAATTTATCTATTTGTGTGTTAAAGAAATTCTACAATACCTTTTTAAAGAAAGGTGGACGATCATTTTAAACAACCATCGAGCTCTCAATCACTTGAATCATGGAAATTTTGATACCATATCACACCACTAATTAAAGAGTCCCAAAAGTTAGGCGATGTGAGATAAATGATCTTATATTTATAACAGATATTGTGTTAAGAAATCATCTAAAACTAAGGGTTTATTGTGTGTCCTTTTAAAGGATGTAAGTTATGTCATTTCAGTGATTTATAAAAAGTCTGACCGGTCATACTTTGTGTAAATCTGAAAAAAAAAATTTACTTTACACGTCAGCGATGTGACTGAAGAGAGAAAAAAAAAAAGTAATTTTTCATATTTACACAATGACCCGGTCAGAGTTTGTGTAAATTACCTAAAAGAACACAAGCTTGTGTCCTTTTAAAGGATACTTCATTTTTCCTGAAACTAAAGTTGTTATATGTAGGGGTGTGCAAAATAACAAAAAAATTAAACCGAATTATGAATCGAACTGAATTGCACTTAAAATAACCAATTTTTAAAAATGAGTTCATGAACCGAACGAGTTTCTAGAATCAGTTTAAAAACCAACCGTTTTGAACCAAACCAAACCGTTTGTGAACTGAACTGGACCATTTTCGAACCAAAACAAATTGATTTTTCTAACTTTATTTTTTATATTTTTAATTTTTTTTTTCAAAATAGAGTCAACTCGAACTTAACCGAAACGAACCATTTTCGAACCAAACCATTTAAATCAATTCGGTTCGGTTCGAACCATGCACGTCCCTACAGTGATCTGCAAATCCAAAATCATTTTTATCACCAACGCTATCATTAAAAGCCTTCATTGTCTCCTTGATGATCTTGTGCAACTAAAAATAAGACAAAGCAACCAAAGTTACTAGCTATCCCATGTTGATAGAATTCCAGATAAAAGTAGTAGTTGTCAAGGGTAAAGGCTGGCTAGCTATATCAGATTCGCCAGTTTAAAAGTATGCTTCCATTGCTTTTGGGACCATCTACCTCTGTTTTAATGAGAAACAAACAGTTAAGAAAAAAAGGAATCATTGCTAAAGTTGCATAAACACTAATTAAAATTAACATAGGGATTCGTATGATCCTTCCAAGTACATACAAGGCCACTTAATATGATGCTAAAAGCCACATTTTTTTTTTTCACAACAAGCACATGAGAAAACAAGGATTACAGAGCCTGCAAAGCAGAATAAGCATGAAAATGCACAAAAAGCTGACTAAACAACCTGTCCAAACTAATGAGCATGAGAAATGCTAACAACATACTCTTTTGAACATTCTTTTTTGCCTAATAACAGAGACTGCGTTAAAAAAGAGTGTTCAAAAAGGGTGTTTAGCAGCATTCCTCTTTTGAACATAGCCACTAGCATTCTTGAAGAGTAAGGTAGGTGGTTACTCAGAATCTCCAGGCTTAGGATGATTATTAGGTGGCGGAGGTTTTGGAATATATGGCATAAGAGGAGTTCCATGCTCAATAGGTCCTGGATTTACACTGGCCTTGGCACTTGGTACAGGATCAATGGGATTGTAATCATCTAGAGTCACGTGACCAATATCACCCTTATTTTTACTTCTTATATTACTGCCATTTTCCTGAAATTTTATGAAAGAGAACACTTATAAGATACAATTTAACTGAAATAAACTGTCATCCCATTATAATTAGGTCCATTGATTATACTATAAGCATCAATACATACCTTCAATTTCCTGCTTGTTGCAATCAGTGTTGTTCTATCACCACAGTTGGTAGCAACCAAATCTGGGATGGCATTAAAAATGTAAGACGAGGTAAATACATGAAGGCTTCACATTGTTAAGAATCTAAACAATAGAAGTATCTAATAAAATCTACTCTCGTTAGGCCAGCAATGTAATTAATGCATGCAATATTTGAATTGAATTACACTATAAGCATAATCAAATGCGGAAGAAGCTAAGAGGAACTCAATCATCAAGTCACTTTAACCAACTAGTATGAAAGATACAACACCTAATCGAGTCTTATATTTGACAGAATGTCCAAAACAAAAGAAACGCATTAAAAATAGGTGCAAACTGGAAAACTAGAAAATACATTTCACTATGCTCTGTCAAATCAGAAATTTCTTGTTCCATTTGAAAGACTCAATTCTTGAGCTTGAAGATTTTGCGGAAAATTGTCTCAAGTCAGTGTTTTCTGTTAGAATCAACATAATAATAACATAAACAAATAGTAAACTACGGAAAATCACACACATGGGAAACAAAAGTTATCTTTCTTTGTACCCAAAAAAAAAAAAGTTATCTTTCAACAAAAAGAATTAAAAATTCCGAGAAGAAATTTTTTCTCTCAAAGGGTGTGGATTGGAAACTGACATCCCCAATGCATGCAACCTGTTCTCCTCAAAGATCAAGTGAAAAGAAAATTTTAGAGGAAAAACAATGCTCAAAACATTCCATGGGTTTTTTAAATCATAAACTTGACCTTTAAGTAGGGATAATAATGACATATTTGACTAAGACTGAAAAGAATTCCGTTGTTGGAATAGATATGATTTTCTCAAATGAAATAAAGAATGGCAACAAAAAATAATGATGGATAGAAGATATTACCGGGAAACCAGGAGGCACCAGTGGGACTTAAGAAGTTAAAGAATGTTAACGCTGTCCCAACCAACAAGAACAAAGCACAAAAGCCAGAAACCTTCATGATATCAATTATTGCTTATCAGTTATAACAAAAAATAACCTCAAGTGAACAATGTCCTGGATTTGGAGTGACTATTATCACACTATACTAAGTTATAATAACTTTCTCCAAAACAAGGAAGCAAGAAGCGGGTTCTGGTCACTGCAGATTAATGAAACCAAAGTCTACCTCAAAACAAGTAAAAGATAATAAGTTTGAAGAGGAGAAAGATGAGCTTCCCAAACAAAACCCAACCATGACCATCAATGTTTTTTGCATTATTTTATTATTAAACACTTTCGTATAGTTGCTTTTCTGTCAGCATAACGTGACCGAGGGCTCGCATTTCACTACAACCTTTAGTGACTGCATTAAAGACTGATCAGACTCTTCATTCCCCATTGTCATGCACAAAAGCAATAACATCTGTACAGGTCAGCAATGAATGATATTGAAATCCCATGCTGCCCTTTATTACTTCTACTTACCACGATTAACCCCCCCCCCCCCCCCCCCCCCGTTATTATTATTATTGGTCCATAGTTTTGGTGTTAATTTTTTCTTTCCACTTCTGTGCCAAAACAATCATAATCGTATTCATTTTCTTTCTTCTTCTCGGCAAGTAACAAGCGTGCATGTTTAAAATTATTATCCATTTATTTGTATTGTTATCTATTCCCATTATTCCTAAAATACCAATATAACTGTTCTGACAGAGATGTCCAGGCCCGTGGCTGGTATATTTTATGTAGGATTTATGTGTCCTCTCTCAGGTATATATGAACGAGATACCCTTTAATGGTAGGCTAATCACTATGCACAATAATAATCGACATAGTCAAGACGTGGAGTCGACATAGTCTAAGACGTAGGGTGTGTGCACAATGACAAGCTAAGAGAGAGAAGGTTGTGAGAGTGTGTACCTTATTAGTTTAACCCTTTATTTATAGAAGGGTTACCTGATAGGAGTGTATTGTCGAGCCTCTTAAGAGCCTGTTTGGATCCTCTTATTTTTAAGCTAGAAGCTAAAGCTAAAAAAAAGAGCTTAAAAAAAGAAGCTAGAAGCTGTTTGGAAATTATATAAAAGTTTTAGCTTAAAAATGACTTAAAATCACATATTTCAAGAAAATTATCTCTCTCTATCTTTATCACTCTTCATTTAAAAAAAAAGCACACAATTCAAGAAAAACAGATAAGAGATTAAAAAAAGCTCCTCCTAGGAGCTTTTAGTTTTCAGCTTTTTTCTTCATTATAAAAAAAAGAGCTTTTCGTTATAAGAGTTTTTCCCAAAACCTGTTTGGCCTAGCTTATGCTTATAAGGAGCTTCTAGCTTTAAAAAAAGAGGATCCAAACAGGCACTAAGAATATTGAAGGCCCAAGTTCAACTACTTAGCTGTCTGGATAAGATTGTCATTAATAAAAGATTCTCTTCATTTTGTGTTGTCCTTTATTGATCCTTCTAGAATATGGACATTTGTCATGTACATAACAATAACTATTTAAAACAAAATAAATAATGCACACTAATACCTGTTATAAAAATGTTCAACATCTATGTACCCAAAAAAAATGTTCAACATCTTACATAATTATCATCACAAACAGATTATTTTAATATGTAATAATACATAATTGAATTATAACAAAAAGAAATGCCACGTGTTAGTTTAGTATAAGATGAGAATTTGATGTATGAGTAAGTAAATTTTCACATATTTGAATCTTAATTACCAAATTTCTTGAAATCAACTTATAAGAATTATTTTATAATTTTTTGTTTCAACATAAATGACCAATCATTAATGGGATTAAAAATACATTAAAAAACTAACCTTAAAAAAAAAACAAGAAAAAATATTGACCAGCATATACTAGTCTTATTTACTTATAGGAGAATTATTTTTTTGCAAGCGTAGAATCTAAAATTTAAATTAAAAGTTTAAATATTTTCTTTCTGAACCGCTAAATTTCAACGAGTTTGGGCCTCGCACAAAACAACACTGGTTTTCAAAAATGAAAACCTAGGCCCAGAGGCCCAAAATAGGAAGGCCAAGAAAAGGGCTAGAAAACTTGACAAGGTGCGCAAGTTCATTTGTTACAGGGAAATAGATGTATCATGTTGTAGGAATTTGGTTGTGTCATGCTATAGACACAATCAATGTGGATCCCACCACTTTTAAAAAATAAAAATTTCTCTTCTATCAAACATTCCCTTAAAGCTTTGTAAAAAATGCATATAACAAACGGAAATAGATGTATCATGTTGTAGGAAATTGGTTGTGTCATGCTATAAACACAATCAATGTGGATCCCACCACTTTTAAAAAATAAAAATTTCTCTTCTATCAAACACTCCCTTAAAGCTTTGTAAAAAATGCATATAACAAACGGAAATAGATGTATCATGTTGTAGGAAATTGGTTGTGTCATGCTATAGACACATGGATCCCACCACTTTTTTAAAAGGAATTGGTGGGATCCACATTGATTGTGTCTATAGCATGACACAACCAATTTCCTACAACATGATACATCTATTTCCGTTTGTTATATGCATTTTTTACAAAGCTTTAAGGGAGTGTTTGATAGAAGAGAAATTTTTATTTGTTTAGAAACAATAGATTATTGGAATATAATAGGAAATATATTTTGCTGGGATGTTACTAAAAAGTTGTTTGGTATAGCTAAACTTTCCCGGAATTTTGTGGTTTATTTTACTGAGTGTGTGTTTGGTTGATTGTGAAATATTAGTGAAAATGTGAGGTTATTTTACGAAAATAAGTCCACTTTTACTTTTTAATATTATATTATATTCAACGATAAACATTTGACGAAGTTGTGGTACTTTTTGCTTACAGATAGTACACCAAAAAGCAAAAAAGCAGAACGGACGGATAATACACTTTTTACAGGGTTATTATCGTCCACAATATTGTGGTACTTTTTTTTACTTACCAGTTAAACCAATATACCAACTCATCGATGGAGATATTTTCTTTTCTCCGTACCATTTTTTACACATTACTGCAAAAAAGGGACAAAATCGATCCATAGAAAAGTGTTCTGTTTCGCGCTACCAAACATGGACTTCCAAATTTCCATACCTAGCTTTCCAAGAAAGAAAAAAAAATCTCAGTACCAAACGTCCTCTAAGTTTTTCTCATAAAACTTTCAAAAATGTCTCTCAAGCCAACCTTACCTCTATTCCACAACTAATACATATATAGGGAAGGAAGAAGGTTATAGGGCCGACAAGTTGTAGTACAACTTGGTTTCAACCTCCCTAAGTGTTGGCTGATTGTGAGCCATTATTTGGTCAGCAATGGGATTGAAGTTTTCTTTATTCTTTTACTTTCTCATATTGTATCTAATGTGCAAACAATAATTGAAATTTGCAGCTTCAAGGAGCACTAGGATTGTGAATACACTAACAAGGCCCAAGCTAAGAAAATGATGTTTCAAAATAAAGTTTCATATAAGAAAATCATCATAAACTTGAAATTTTTTAAACTCGGTACAATAGTCTATATCGGATGAGCAAAGATTAAAGCAGTGTACCTGAGGTTTAAAGCAGTGTACCTGAGCATATTTGCAATAGCAATGCTCCCATCTTCTAGATGGAAGCTTTCAACTTTCTTAACTTCATCCTATGCAAATTCATCACATAGGAAATTAATAGACGATTCACAACTTCAAATCCATGGGACATGTATAGAAAAGCCACTGAAAAATTGAGCATGGTTTGAGATGTACTTATAATCTGAAACAAATAAAAACTAATATGAACTTAATCTTGATGTACTAGTTAGCATAAAACTTTTTATGCTACATCCGATTCCAATCATGCATTAAACCTTTGCAACTATTGAACCAATGTATGTAACAAAACTCTGTATTGCACAGCCCTTGCATGGCTTCTGAGTTTATCCTCTTAAGATCACCTGTACAGACAGCAATGGCATACTAAGGGTATGATAATTAAGGAATAGTATTCAGGCAGTAATGTGACTCAGAATCAGATTACCTAAGGGCATGAAAATTAAAGTCAATCATGATTTTAAGCCATCAAAAAAGAATAGCATTACACAGATACTCACCTCTGTACTCTTCAAGTTTTGGTAGAGTCACAGTTCCCTCAATACTTTTTTTCTTTCTTTGATTTTATGTTTTTTTAGATGATTTTCCAGTCCCAATTGCTGAAAAAAATAGAATACAGAAAGAGTGAATAAAATATAAACAATATTATGTAAATTGCCCATTTCAAACCGTAAACACTGTTCCTTCTCTTCTTTTACTTCAACCTACCTTCTAACCTGATGATGCCTCTAATGATTTGTAGCTTCTTCTTATTTATTTATGGAGGTTAAAAGCATTCTCAATTAATTAGCATAAAGTTTATCTTAGACACCAAGAAAGAAAAGCGACAGCGAGATAGATAAATTATAAGATAGAGAAAAATCGAGGGTTGCTATGTGGAACCATTGATTTATCTATTTAGTTTTTTGTTTGGTTTTTAAGTTTTTTGAACTGTTTGTTTGGAACCACAATTGATTAATGTTCTTAGATTTGAGTAACATATTTATAGTATTATTCTTTTACTCAGGTATTCTTTTGTAAATTAATAATTAACTATTTTATTTATTCTAAAATATTATTCAATTAATGTTTTCATAAGAAATTAAAAAATTTACGAAATATTTTTAAAATTGAAACAAACATAATTTTATTTAATTAAAGTACCTTTTACTGCATAATTTTTTTCATTACAATAAATGAAAATATTAAAAACCAAGATTAAAATTTAAAAAATAATTAAGACTTTTTATTTTTTGAAGGAATGTTTTTTTTCAACAAACAAAATAATATTTTTTTTTTCTATAAAACAACAAATATTTTGAAATAATGAAGTAATTAATTTAATTAGAAATAGGATAATTTATCCCATTTAATTATTATAATTTCTTAAAATTATATCAAAATTAGGGGACCAGTGAAATTTGTTGTTCGGGCTTGTTTCTCGAGACCAAGTGCGACTCTGTTGCCATCTCTCTCTCTCTCTCTCTCTAAAACTTGTCTCAAATCTCTCTCTGTGTTAACTATAATCCAATGTCAGTGATATGTAGATGTTGAAAGGGAGCCGTTGCGGATCTGAATTTTGTGTTAGGGTTTAAAAAGGTTTTTTTTTTTTTTTTTGTTTCTCTTTTGTTTTCTTCAACGGCCACACCATTTACCATTCCCTTCACTGCATTGAACGATATATAGAGTTTGTACTTTTTAAATTATGCCTGGAATGTGTTATTTTTTATTCCTTTTTATTATCTGTTAGAATTGGAAGTTCTCTCAAGATGTTTTGTACGATGGAGTGATTTTCTTATTGGTGTCTGAAACACAATTGTTATATAACAATCCTCATCTTATCAATAAAAAGAAATTTTTAATGCAACATCCTTGGAGTGAAACTGTCCGTATAGCTAGTATTTTTCAGGCGTGGTTATTGATTTTTATTAAATTTTAATGAAAGTCTATTTCCGTTGTTTGTAAATTGGCACCATGTGTTTGATGAATTAACGAATATGTATTTTTTTTTTTAGTTGTTTCATCCGTGCTAGCCCTTGAACAACCCCTAATATGAAATTATGGAAGCCTGTGAAATTAATTGAATTCTATTATGTAGTTATAAATGTTTTGGTACAAGTTAGAACACACTGTGAAAAATGCTTATAGCCTAATACATATATGGTGATGACGCCATTTCAGTTCGTGTGCTTCCTTTATGAGCTAAGATATGGTATGAAGAGAAATTTCTGAACTCCTTTTGGTTAAATAGAACAACCAAGATAACAAGTGCAGTGAAATTGCTATGGACCCGTCTATTGTGAAGCTTCTTGAAGATGATGAGGTTTTCTCCTTTTCTTTTGAGAAAATAGATATGGTCTTATACTGAATTGGGGCTTAGCTTATCCTACCACCATGTTTGGATGTTCACAGGATGAAACAATGCATTCAGGGGTGGACGTGGAAGCCTTCCAGGCTGCCCTAAATAGAGATATTGGAGGAGCTGCGTCTACTTCTCAGCTTTCTGGTTCAGATGCAGGTGTCCCTCAATTTCGTTCATTATTTTCTGAGTTCAAGTGTTCAATACACTCTCACTCATTCTGGTCATATTTGATTTCTTTGTTGCCATTGCTTATTTTGCTATTCAGATTCATCTCTTCTTCAACCATTGTTTGAGTCCATTGTGTATATGTAAAAAATCAAAATGATCAAAATAAACTTCATGTTTGAAAGGAAGAATTTGCATCTGTATGAAATCTAACAATTCTCTATATACTTTTGTTTATCATATTTTTTCCTTCTAATTCTTGTTTTGTATGAAAGGAAGAATTTGCATCTGATTCATTAGTTTTGAAATATTCCGGGGTCCAGTTTGTATATAGAAGCTGAACCTAAATCACAAAAGTATTAGTTTTAGTTCTAATTGTGTGTTGGGTCATGTGATTTCTTATTTCTCAATTGCACATGCTTTGTGCTGCTATAATTTCTGCAGTTTTGACTCAAGCAAGCAATAATACATTCAGTCAGTCATTACCACAGTGGCCAACTTCTGGTCATGACAGCCGAACTGACAGTCAAAATCAAGAGCCTAAAACTGCACAGCAGCAAGAACAACCTTCATCTGAGATGGAGCTGCAGCAACATGGATCTCTTGTGGAACAACTACAGCATGTTGCTTCTCAGGATGTAAATAATCCTCCTTTGTCACAGAAACAATCTCAAGATGAATGTCACCAAGTGCCGACTGTGCAAGCTTCTCTCCAAAATTCCCAAGTGATTGGAATTCAGAATTCTGGTAAAGATTCAGTCCTTACTAATGAGGTAGTCAAAACTCATAACCCCAGCAGTGAATCTCAGTATGCAAAGCTGCAGCAGATGAGTAATCAACAGGCTACAGTCACTGAACAGCCAAGCAGCCAAACTAACCGTAGTAAACAGGCACCAATGGGTAAACAGGTACCATTTGGCTTGTTGCTACCCCTTTTGGTTCCCCAACTTCCCAAAGACAGAGCCATGCAGCTTCAAACTTTATTTGCTAAATTGAAGGTGGGTTTCTCAAACCAATCTAAGTAGCAGGTCCTTTGGTCCCCCCCCCCCCCCCCCCCCCCCCTCCTCTTTTTTTTTTTTCTTTTTTCCTGTGCTAAGTTTTATTTTTTGTGGTGGTAGGATAAGACCAACTTATGAACAGGTATCACATGCTACTAATTTTCTGTTTTGCCAATTTTGTTATTTTTTGTTCTAGAAAGATGAAATACCAAAAGACAATTTTGTGCGGCATATGAAAGCTATTGTAGGGGAACCGATGCTTAGATTAGCATTAACAAAAGTGCAATCACAGGTAGGAAGAAATCATATTTTGTATTGTATACTTGTGTTATGGTTTTTACGAAGCCAGTTAAACATTGATGTCATGGACATGCTAAGATTCTTTTTTTCCTACTGTTATAGACAAGACCCATTCAAGGACCTGCTGGGCAGCAGCACCCTGTAAGGATGCCAACTGTTAGTTCCAGTGCAAGACAATTGAATGATCCCAATGCTTTAGCGCACATGCATCAGAGAAGTATGAATGCTGCTGCCGACCAATCTCGTATGAATTCTTCAGCTGTCCAAACTGTGGAGAGCAATGCTAGAAAATCTCAGGAATTGGATGTTAAAATAGAATCTCAAGGATTGCAACCAAGCAAATTGCCATCTTCCAGTTCCAATGCTGTTAGTCAAGAAACAGAAAGATCATCAGTTCACATGCAAGGGCTTAATAAGCAGCAGCAACAACATCTACATATCCCATCAGCATATGGAAGTAGTAGTGGTAATTATAACCCTTTTTCTGGGACAACCAGTAATTCTACTTCATCTAGCAAACCGCAAACACATGATTCACACATGAGTCAAATTCCACATCAAAGCATTGGTTCAAATCACTTAGGTGGGGCAACACAGGGTTTGAATGTGATTGGTATGCCAAAAGTTGAACGGCAGAATTCTTTCAATGATCCCAAGAGACTGCCAGGTGGATCTATGTCTACTGCTGTAAATAATACAGCATCTCAACATACTTCTTGGCAACCATCAACAAACAAAGAACAAAATTTGGGCTTGTTATCATCTGTTTCTTATGTCAAAAAGGAACCTGGTGACTTGTCTACTGAGCAGCAACATAGGCATAATTTATCTAAATTGCATGGATTACCTTCTGTTAATGCTGCGCAGATCGAACAGGGTAGTGCTAATCAAGGAACTGTAAAGGATGAGTTTTCAAGAGGTCTTCCAGCATCCACAAGCATGCCACCTACAACATCTACTAGCTTTCTGCCACTCAATTCTGCTTCCCCTTCTGTAATGACTCAACTAGACCCTACTGTCTCGGTAAGTTTGAGACTGGTATACATGATTTTGTCTAAGATATAATGGCTAAATTTTTCTGAATTATATAGTGTCCAAATTTATCTTTGTTTTCTTGGGCAGTATGCATCCCTCTTAGTGCTATGTTATATTGAATGTATATTAAATGTAAATTTATGAAACATTAGTTCCCTTTTTGTATTCAAGAAATTTCATTATTTTTGTTAATTTGTTTATAGCAAATAATATCTTTCACTTATAGTTCTGTGAAACTTTTGTAACTTAGTTTCGAGTAAGCACAGGTAGTTCTCAATCCTCCCTCCCTTTTTTTGGGTAAAGTATTAGTTTTACATTAATGTTGAACTAGGTATCCAAGAACGGAAAAGAATAATTCTGAAATTTCTTTATTGTCAATATTCAAGCAAAAGGTTTTGAAGTTGTGAAAAGAGAGATATTTTTGGACCTCCACACAAACTTACCCCCCACCCAAAAAAAGGTTGATAACCATACTGGAAATAAAGTAGGATAGGAGTATCTCTTCTTAAACAAAGGATGAAATCCCTAACTGGAAAAGTTAAAAATCCCCTTAAAAGCCACAATTTATGAGAAGTTAAGAACCCTAATCAAAATCATCTCCATTCTGTATTTTACTTTCTTATAGATTTTAACTATTCCACATATAATGCAACTGTTTATATATATATATATATATATACTACACACACTCTCCATGTAAGTTGTAGATATATTGCCTCTATATATGGTGAGGTGCTAGTTTTTCTTACACTTGAAAATTCAAACTGGTTTTTTTGATGCTATAAATGGTATCCATAAATTAATACATGATTCTTGCTCATGTTCTGTGTGCCAATTTTTTAAGGTCATGCTTGGCTCAAGTTAGAGTCAAGAGCTACTTGAGCTGGCTCAATGAGCTCATTCAGGTTGCGCCAAGTGAACTCACAACATTAAATGAGCCAAATGAGTGTTAAAAGAGTTCCATATTGCATAAAACTGGCTCAGTACACATAATATACTGTGCAATCAACACTCATGGACCAAAAAATGTTATTTTGTAACATTTTTGTGTGAAATTCTTTGAAGATATGTATATTATGCTAGTTCATGAGCAAATGAGTTGAGCACTGACTCATGCTTAGCTCATATTTTAAACCAGTCAATCATATTATAAGTCATGCTCAATTGTTTTGCTTATGAGCCAAAACTGAGTTGAGTCATGAGCCACCTGTAAGTGCCTTGACTCATTTTCATCGTTGCTGTCTTGATTTTGCACCAAGTAGGACCCATCAACCCTGAATTTCCAATTTTGTTAGCCTTGAGATTTGGCTGTATACCCAACCTATTGTATGCAAAGTTGCTCTATTAGAGTAGTGTATGATTGTATTAATTGTATACAACTATAAATATATTATATACTGCTGTGTAAGTCAATCAATCGATTCAGTTTTCACTCTGAACAATTCAGAGGAATATCTTTTTCTGTCTCTGCACTTTCACACATTTCCTCATACTTTCTGGGAAATTTCTGATTCCATTACATGTTTATAATGATATCTTTAAACTCTCAGATCCCATCAAACGCTTCTGGAATTATTGCAAGGACATCTCTTAAAAAGCCTTCAGTTGGCCAGAAGAAACCACTTGAAGCACTTGGTTCCTCACCCCCTCCTCCGAGGTTATATGTCTTAGTCTACTGGATCATGATTCACTTATTTTTTCGGTCAACTTTGTAATTTCTAACTCATTTTGATATATGCATATTGTGACTGTTATCCTACAGTAAGAAACAAAAAGCATCTGGGGGATCTGTTGAACAAAGCATTGAACAGCTTAATGATGTCACTGCTGTTAGTGGAGTTGATCTTAGGGTATGATACATTGTCATGTTGAACTAAGCCAGATTGCTCAATAAGTAGGGAATGTTTACTCTTCTATTTCAAAATCTGGAGTCATTTCTAATGTATCTCTCTTTTACAGGAAGAAGAAGAGCAGTTATTTTCAGGGCCCAAAGAGGACAGTCGAATTTCAGAAGCATCTCGAAAAGCTGTGCAAGAAGAAGAGGAAAGGCTAATCTTGCAGAAAGCTCCATTGCAAAAAAAGTTAATTGACATTAGTTAGTTTCCTTTTCATGCCTTACCTTTGTCCATATGTTTTAGTTATTTCTTTTTGAGCTTATCTGGATATGTACTAGACCCACGAAGCCTTATATCTGTTTTATGTTGTTACTCTTGCAGTGGCCAAGAGTGGCTTGAAGGGTATGAGCAATGATGTGGAGAAATGCTTGTCACTGGTGAGATTCAAGCAAATTTTCACTTTTCATTTTTTGTAGGTTTGCATGTAATCATCTTATGATTGAAAGTAAATGTTCAGTGTGTGGAGGAAAGGATGCGTGGACTGATAAGTAACCTGATTAGACTGTCAAAACAGGTCAGTTATTTTTTCTAGCTCCTTGTACGACTAGTCTTTCATAGTTGTATAATTTTCTCACAAGAATTTTCCTCCTAGCGGGTTGATTTTGAGAGGACAAGACATCGGACTGTTGTCACCTCAGATGTTCGGCAGCAAATCATGACAATAAATAGGAAAGTAAGGGATGAGTGGGAGAAAAAACAGGCAGAAGCTGAGAAGCTTCGGAAGCTAAATGATGTGAGTTCCAAATCTTGAAATTTTGTTGAATTACTGACAAGATAAAAGGCTTGTCCATGCTCATTTCGCATGCATACATGATTTTCGTATGTTTGCATTTGAAACCTGTGTGCCTATCGTTTAAAATACTATTTTTAAATATAGGTGGAGAGCAATAATGGAGTTGAGGGTGACAAGGAGAAGGATGATGGTCGTTCTAAATCAACAAAGGTATTTATGTCATTCTTATTTCACCTTTATCAAAATTGGAAATCTTTTCTTTTATTAATAATAATGCTGCAGGTGAACAAGGAAGAGGATGACAAAATGAGGACAAATGCTGCAAATGTTGCTGCCCGTGCTGCTGTGGGAGGAGATGACATGCTGTCAAAGTGGCAACTTATGGCTGAGCAAGCCAGGCAGAAACGTGAAGGAGGGATGGACATGTCATCTGGTTCTCAACCAGCTAAAGATGTGAACCGCAAATCTTTGTCAACTTCTGGAAAAAATACGAAGGATAATCAAGAAGGGGAGAAAAAAGGTCCAACCACTTTTCTTGCAACTTCAGGTGAGTTTATTTTAAGCTGTTTATCTAACATTTCAGTTGTCAAATAATTCAACTGCAAGATGGCAGTCAATTTTAGATATCGGTTTCACCAAAGTGGCATCCATAATGCTGTATCTTAATTTATGCATGAAAAAAAATTGAGATATGATAGAAGGAAGCAGGCTCTTAGATTATGTCACATGGAATGAATATAAAACCACTTCCCGTTAAACCCGACTAGCGAGTGTGGGTGGAGGTAATCCTTGTACGCAGCCTTACCCTTGCATAATTGCAAAGAAACTGTTTCCTGGATTCGAATCCATGACTTTTCAGTCATGAAAGAATAGTTTTAACACTGCTCCGGTTCGCCCCCTTACACTTGGAATGAATATACTAATAAAATATATGTTTTGCTTAATATTCTATTTTTTCGGTTGATTTTTTTTTTTTGATAAATATCGAAATGTAGAACATCCTCCACTTCCCACTTCTTTGGGGCTGAAGGGGCTGTATGATGCTCCTGATCGCCTGCCTTGGCCAGTGTCCTGTTGTATGAAGTGTAGAATATGGTATCAGAATACCCACTCCTCATCATCTTCATTATTTGCTTTATGTATAATTGAGGAATGGGTTTTCATTCCAGCATGGGTTTCCATGTTAGTATAGGTCTCCATGCTTTTCTTTATTAAAGTTCTTGTACATTATTGCTGAGTGTATTGATTATAAATACCATAGAGCTTCAGAGAATTCTCTAAGCTATTCCAATATCTCTTTCTACATGGTATCATGAGCTAGGTACATTCAGGAACCAAAACCACAGTGAAGAGAAGAAAGCTTCACCACCGTACATGTTCAAAAGCTTAGAAATTCACCAACAGACCCCAAAACCTTAGTAAATCGAGATGGAAATACTCCCATTCAAACCAGAAATTTCCGACGACCCAATATGGAGCTCCCCACCGGCAGAAAATCCCTCACGCGCCGCCACAGTCAGGGAGTGTGAGGCCCACGCGCAGTCCAACTTCGGGCGAGTGAAGGCCACACGTCGCCTTCCACTGCTCGTCTCCGGTCACCGTTAAGTTCGCCGTGCTCGCCCCAGCCTCCTCTTTCTGTTCCAGTACTGTGTTTGTTTGCTAGTTCCTTTTTTCTCACATGTCTAATTGTTTCTTCATCTCTTTATATGGACGCCATTTTTTTGCTTCCAGTACTGTTTCTTCATCTCACAGGCCAGTAAACATGACATTTTCCTTTCTTTGACTCCATATACCTACAGTACTGAGTTTCTCTTTGTTTTAATAGTGGATCATCCAAATCCACTTCTTATTGTTTGTTTGTCAATCATTTCTGCCTTGTTTTGTTCCTTTGGTTATGTTTTTTCCTGTATTGGAGTAAATATGGCTTCAAATGATGAAGATTTTTTGTTTTAACAGTGGATCATCCAAATCCACTTCTTATTGTTTGTTTGTCAATCATTTCTGCCTTGTTTTGTGCGCTTTGGTTCTTTTTTTTCCTGTATTGAAGTAAATATGGCTTCAAATGATGAAGATTCTTCTGGTCCCAAAGATCCTGTTTCATCCGAAGTTACCAATCCGGTATGTCATGCTCCAGTTGCTTATGCTTTTTCAGGTTCACCAACAATTACATCTGAAAAGTTAAATAGTAAAAACTATTTAGCTTGGTCCTCTTCTGTTGAGTTGTGCTTTCTTGGTCAAGGTCTTTCAGACCATCTTGAAAAGTCAATTTCTGATATTCCTCAAATAGAATGAAGTCAACGGGAAAGGTTTGACTATCAGTTATGTGCCTTGTTATGGCAATCTGTGGAACCCACAATTTTAATTAATTTTCGCACTTTTAAAACATGTGTCACTTTTTGGAATAAAGCTCGCGGCTTATTTGCTAATGACATTCAAAGACTCTATGATGCAGCCCAAAAATTGGCTTCTCTTCACCAAAATAGTCATGATATGACAAGTTTTGTTGCTCAGGCACAGGCAACAGTGGAGGAACTAAGAATGTTTTTACAGGCTGACAGCCATCAAGGCTTGTTGGGAAAGTTGGAAAATCTATATGTAGTCCTGGTATTGCGTGCTATGCATCCTGATTTCAATCACATTCGAGATCAACTTTTGACTAGTCATGAAGTACCCACCATGGACTATCTTACCACTCGCCTCTTGACGGTCCCCAATTCCACTCCTTCAGACCCGCGTCCCAACATAATTGACACTTCAGCTTCCGCTTTGGTCACTAACTCTGGCTTTCGTGGAGGACGTGGAGGTCATGGTGGACGAGGATTTCGGGGAGGGCGAGGTGGTCGTGGTAATCGCAACAACAATCCTCACTGCACATACTGTAAGCGATCAGGCCACACTCAGGAGACATGTTACTCTCTACATGGTTTCCCTGATAAATCTGTCAATCTCACTCAGTCTGAACCTGGTGTAGAAGAAGGGACGAGATTTAACAGATCTGGTGAACAGTCATTTTCTCTTACAGAAAAGGAGTTTCAGGAATTTCTTCAGTTGAAAGCAGCAAAGCCAACTCAATCCTCTACTACCACTGTTGCTCATTCGGGTAATCCTACAGTTTGTATTTGTCATACGGGTAATAATTCCACACCCTGGATCCTTGATTCAGGTGCCTCTGACGATGTAGCTGGTAATCAGTCTCTCTTCTCTTCTCTTTCTTCACCAACTTGTCCTCGTTTTGTAACTTTAGCTGATGGTTCCAAAGTATCTGTCCGAGGCATTGGTGTTGTCTCACCCAATGCATCCATGTCATTAAATTCTACTTTATTCACCTGGTTGTCCATTTAATTTAATTTCCTTGAGTCAGCTTACAAGATCTCTAAAGTGTTCTGTAACTTTTTATTCTGATTCTTTTGTTATCCAGGACCGTGGTATGGGAAAGACGATTGGCATAGGACATGAATCACAAGGACTTCATTACCTCCAATCAACCTCTCATATGGCATGTGCTACTGTGGAATCTCCTAGTCTTCTCCATCACCGTCTTGGTCATCCCAGTTTATTAAAACTTAAAAAAATGGTCCCAGGTCTTGAAAATCTAAAGTCTTTCAGTTGTGAGTCATGTCAACTTGGCAAGCATGTTCGGTCTTCTTTTCCTAATAAGGTCAACAGTCAAACAACATCTATTTTTCCTGTTATCCATTCTGATGTTTGGGGTCCTAGTCGTGTTTCTACACCAACTGGGTTTAAATATTTTGTGACTTTCATTGATGATTTTTCTCGATGTACTTGGTTATTTTTAATGAAGGAACGTTCAGAAGTCTTTCCCATATTTCAATCCTTCTGCAGTGAGATTCACAATCAATTTGGCAAAACAATCAAAGTTTTACGTAGTGATAATGCCAAAGAATATTTCTCTGCTGACTTCTCATTGTTTATGTCATCTCATGGGATTTTGCATCAATCATCATGTCCGTATACCCCCCAACAAAATGGAGTAGCTGAAAGAAAAAATCGTCACCTTATTGAAACTACTCGTACATTGTTGTTGGATGCTCATATGCCACTGCAATTTTGGGGGATGCTGTCCTAACCGCTTGCTATTTGATTAATCGTATGCCTTCCTCTGGTATCAATCATCAAGTCCTTATTCAGGTGTTAGACCCTCAAATTCCTTTGTATACAGTTCCTCCTCGAGTATTTGGTTGTACTTGTTTTGTCCATGATCTATCTCCCAGGCGCGACAAGTTGTCCCCTCGTGCTATCAAATGTGTCTTTCTTGGTTATTCTCGGTTGCAAAAAGGGTACCGGTGTTATTCTCCTATCACTCATCGTCAGTATATCTCTGTCAATGTCACTTTTTTCGAAGACACACCTTACCTCACTTCAACCACTGATCCTATAGTAATCTCTGAAGCTTTACCGGTACCATACTTTGGTAGTCTCCCTTTGTCTTCTTTACAGGTACCTATAGATACTCAGCCTGATCATGAGGAACCCATCGTTTCTCTGCCAGATCATGACCAGCTTGATTCTCCCCAACAACCAATCATCACTTACCAGCGACGTTCCAAGGCAGCCATTCCTACAACCGAGGTAGTCACTGAGGATCCTTATACATCATGTCCTATCCCAACGGCTTTTCCTACTACGGACCTACCTTCCTCTACTGCACCGACATCAACTCCCGGTAAGTCTGTCAGTGATTCTCCTATTGCTATTCGCAGAGGTAGTCGTACCACTCGTAATCCTCATCCTATTTATAACTTCTTGAGTTTTCACCGTTTGTCTCCGTCATATTATGCATTTGTATCCTCTGTGTCCTCTATTCAGATTCCTAACACTGTTAATGAGGCTCTTTCCCACTCTTGTTGGAAGCAAGCTATGATTGATGAGATGACTGCCTTTGAGCACAGTGATACATGGGACTTAATTCAACTTCCCCAAGACAAAAAGGTTGTTGGATGTCGTTGGGTATATGCAGTTAAGGTAGGCTGTGATGGCAGTATTGATCGACTTAAAGCCCGTCTTGTTGCTAAAGAATACACTCAGACTTATGGTCTTGATTATAGTGAGACATTCTCTCCAGTGGCCAAAATGGCATCTGTTCGTCTATTCCTAGCCATCGCCGCTATTGGGCAATGGCCTTTATATCAGCTAGACATAAAGAATGCCTTCCTTCATGGTGATCTAGATGAGGAGATTTATATGGAGCAACCACCTGGTTTTATTGCTCAGGGGGAGTCTGGACTAGTTTGTAAGTTAAAACGGTCTCTTTATGGGTTGAAACAATCTCCGGTTTGGCAAGTTCAGCACAGTTGTACAGAAATTTGGGTTATCTAGGAGTGAAGCTGATCATTCAGTTTTCTATCGTCACACTCCCTTTGGTCGATGTATTTATCTGGTGGTTTATGTTGATGATATAGTGATTACAGGTGATGATAATGAGGGTATTTTGCAGTTGAAGGAGCACTTGTTTCAACACATTCAAACAAAAGATTTGGGACGACTCAAATACTTCCTCGGTCTTGAGGTAGCTCAATCACAAAGTGCCATTGTGCTTTCACAACGAAAATATGCTCTAGACATTTTGGAAGAGACTGGTTTAACAGATTGCAAGCCTGTTGACACTCCAATGGATCCAAATCACAAGTTATTACCAAATCAAGGAGAACTGTATTCAGATCCTGACAGATATAGAAGGTTAGTTGGTAAACTAAACTACCTTACCTTAACCAGACCAGACATCTCCTTCCCGGTAAGCGTAGTAAGTCAATTTATGCAAGCTCCGTGTATTGAGCATTGGGATGCTGTGGTTCGAATCTTACGATATATTAAGAATGCTCTAGGAAAAGGATTGTTGTATGAAAATAAAGGTCATGCTAAGATTATGGGATACTCTGATGCTGATTGGGCTGGATCACCCAGTGACAGAAGATCAACTTCAGGATTTTGTGTATTTATTGGTGGTAATCTAGTATCTTGGAAAAGTAAGAAACAAAGTGTGGTTGCAAGATCCAGTGCAGAAGCTGAATATCGTGCAATGACAAATGTTACATGTGAACTCATATGGGTAAAACAATTACTTCAAGAGTTGAAGTTTGGAGATACTAATCAAATGAGACTCTACTGTGATAATCAAGCTGCATTGCATATTGCATCAAATCCCGTCTTCCATGAAAGGACCAAACACATTGAGATTGACTGCCATTTTATCAGTGAGAAAGTCCTTTCTAAAGAAATCCTCATTGAATTTGTTAACTCAAGCTATCAGCTTGCTGATATTCTTACTAAGTCACTGAGGGGACCAAGAATACAATTTATCTGTGACAAGCTTGGTGCATATGATATATATGCTCCAGCTTGAGGCGGAGTGTTAGAATACCCACTCCTCATCATCTTCATTATTTGCTTTATGTATAATTGAGGAATGGGTTTTATTCCAGCGGTTTCCATGTTAGTATAGGTCTCCATGCTTTTCTTTATTAAAGTTCTTGTACATTATTGCTGAGTGTATTGATTATAAATACCATAGAGCTTCAGAGAATTCTCTAAGCTATTCCAATATCTCTTTCTACATATGGTATGCTTACTGTTGCCAACAAAAACGCTTCAAAGAAGTTTCTATATTGAGTTGCAGGCATGTCGTGTTAGTTATCGGTTTGAATCTAGTAAATTAGTGCTGTTTTGATTGGTTGTGCTATTTTTTCATTGCTGTGTTTCCTATTTTTATTCTTCCAACAGGGGCTGCTCGAAAACATGGGAGAAATCATTCCCTTGCACCTCAAACTAGGGTAGCTCGAAGCATCTCTGTTAAGGATGTAATTGCAGTCCTGGAGAGGGAACCCCAGATGTCTAAATCACCACTCATACATCGCTTGTATGAGAGAATTCATTCTGATTCCCCGGCTGAATAAGGTCAAACGGAGTGCGTTGGTGATCTTGGCTTTCTAGTTTTAATGGTGAGCTTATTATTACATTATGCTTACCAACTGAAATTGAAAGGTTTCCTCAAGCTGGAAATAAGCTGTATTGACGTACACTTCACTATGTATAACCCATATAGTTTACTTGTTAAATTTGATTTGCTCCCATTATCAGTAGGCAAATTTGGAAATCAGTGCAATTAAACAGAAACTCTCACTGTGCAGGCTTTAAGCTACAGTGATGCTACTAACATAACTGCACACCTGGTTCCGTCTGAGTTTTATGTGAGTTTTACTTGCAGCGACTACAACTTGATTTCTAAACGACATTCAAAATGCCCTTTCGATCTTAAAAAATTTGACCAAACCAATCTGTCAAACAATCCAAGCTATTGTGAAGGGGTGGTAGATTGTGAACAATCAAAGTTCATGATCTGCTTAGTCAGTGAATTGATTCTGAGTTTGGCAAGTTTATTGTTAATTTACAACCGTTAAATAAAATTGACTTCCAACAAATCACACGCAAAAAATAATACCTATAATTGAAGTTCCTGATAATATTCTATAGGTAACTTGTATGCATTAGACTTCATATCACCAGGTTAGCTTAGAGATGAAACTCAAGGAGGAGCACTGCGGAGATGTTTAAGGAACTACATTTATCCACAAATTAGTTGTTAAAGTTGAAATCTTTGTATGCCTTTTTGATTTAGCCACAAATTACACCGATTAGTTTAAAATTGAGATTATGTTATATGTGGTAACCAGCAATTTTACTAACCTCTGTAAAATATTGATAAATATGACATGACTTGCCCACATTTTTTTTGGTTTGTTTTTTCGGACAACGCAATACAATGTTTAGGTGACAGTGATGGAATTAGCTTAATTTCAATATATTTTATAAAACTGTTTAGGGGTTTATTTTAAGGGTTATATTTATTTATGTGGTAGGAAAATAGTTATTTATAGAAATAAAATTATAAGTGAGATTCACGTGTAAGAGGAGAGATAAAAAGTAGATGTGGGACCCACACCTACTTTTTACGTGTAGGAAACTTGTTTATTTTATGTAAAATAAGATTAATATAATCCTTATTTTAATATTTTTTATTATTCCATAAATAACATTTACTATAAAATTTGTAATTTAAAAAATAGATAATGCCGATCTTTTATTATCTTTTACAAGAATGAGATAAAATTAAAGGTTAATGTTTTTCTAGGAGAAAATTTTATTTTTTATATATATAAAAGTGTAAAGATTTTATTTTTTCTTTCCCTTTTCTCTTTGTATGATTTGGATTTCATGTTATTTTATGTGTCGAGATAAAATTATTTCTCGTAATATAAAAAATATTAACGCCTAAAATTAAACATGTGTGAAGATTATTTTATTCAAAAAAGGCAAAAACAGAGTGAAGCTAAACATGTGATACAGTGTCATAGTGATGACTATTGATATGAGAAAGGCAAAACGTGCGTCGGTGCGTGGACCGGATAACGATGATGGCGCCCGTGGCGGAGAGGTGGGAGCAGTCAGCATGATTGTGGATATACGGTTACGATTTTCACCTACAATGGGACCCACACTACCCTTCCTAAACACAAAAAGTTCACAAAAAAATAAATAAAAAATAGATATATTGTCTCAACAACACAAAGCATAAAGTAAAAAAAAGCCGCGGAATATGCTTTGCTCTGTTCTACAGATTACCCTTTCCTCTCTTGTTTCATCTCTTCCCCGTGTTCCTTCCTTCTAATCATTTCCTTCCTAAATTCTCTCTCTCACTAATATTCTCTCTCTAAATCAACCACCTTTTAATCCTCTTCTTAAACCTTCCCTCTCACTTCACCCATCACAACATCACCGTTTTGGTGGATTTTTTTTTTTAGAATAAAAAAGAAAGAGAGAAAGCAAGAAAAAAGTGTTATGGAGCTTGTAACCGCAAGTGATCTCTTTGTCACTGCGTCGCTGGCGATTCTACTCTCTTTTCTTGTTGCAAAGCTTGTTTCCTTGGCCATGACCGACACTCACACCACAACAAACTATCATGACCACGACGAACCAGTTACCCTTCAGGAGGAACGGTTCACGGTTCAGACCGCTCAAACAGAGAGCAGAGTCGGTTTTATTAGTCCGGTTCAAGTCACTAATTTAGAAACCGAACCCGAACCCGAACTACCCGAGCACAACATAGAAGAGACTGCGGTTGAATCCAAACCCGACGTTGTCGGTGAGATGCTGGTGACGTCAGACATTGCCGTCGATGTGACTAAAGAGAAAATCGCTGATCCCGATGATGAAACAGAAGAGTTTGGCCCACAAGCAGTTGAGGAAACGAGGAACACGGAGTTTGTTGAAGAAATCAGCGTAGAACCTTCCACTGAGAAGTTAATTTCTGTTGTAGAGAACGATGATGGTAATGATGATGATGATGATGATGATGATTGGGAAGGGATTGAGAGGAGTGAGTTGGAAAATGTGTTTATGGCGGCTTCGGAATTTGTCGGTGGCGGCGAGGATAATCGATTATCAAGCGTTGGAAGCGATGTGCAGATGGAGCTTTATGGGCTTCATAAGGTTGCTACTGAAGGGCCTTGCCGCGATCCTCAGCCAATGCCTCTCAAGCTCTCTGCACGTGCCAAGTGGTATCAATTTCAATATTCCCTAACTATCTTTTTTTTTTTTTTATGCCCTAGTTTTAGCAATTTATGGTTCTTCGTGTTATGCTTTGTTGAATTGCCTAACTTGCATTCCCTTTTTCTTTACTCTGCGTTTGTTGAATTGCCTAACTTCACTCACTGCCAAAGTTTGTTTCGGCACAAAATAAATAAAAATTTTAGGGTTACAGGATAAGTTTGAATCTTACTCTTATTGGACACAAAGCAAAACCAAAGTGGGTACGTAAGTTTATGAATTTCACTTAGGCTGTTATGTTGTTAGCAGAAGTAATGAATGGGTAGTTCTTATGCATTTAATTGGTATTCCCCAAGACTTGGTGTGCATAAAATTCGAACAGATAATGAACCAGTCATTAAAATGAATTGTAAGTTTGTCTTTGTCCTCTTAACATAAAATACTCAAGGATTGTTCAAGAGAAGAAAAAAGATGTATCAAACCCTCAAACTTGATGAATAAATGTAAACAAAGCATGCGGCCGTGCTGTACAAGTTACACGGTATAGCTTGATTGCTAGTTATAATAACAGGGTTGAGAGCTGCTTTGTATGAGTGATCGACAGTACTGATTCCGTTGTGCAAGGAATGCTTGGCAAAAGCTGGGGAACATGAGTCCTGAGGTAGCTATGGAGCAGTATATCAGCCTTCTTTCGGATAAAGTTCCTGGATGGACGAAATATACTTCTGCTGTGAGTTTATGCTGTTAATGCATATTGTGTTTTAATATCTTTGAGTCACATGAGCATTGAAATTGAAGCAAACCTTTTTACAGGGTATGTGTGAACATGAACACACAGCAGGATCGGAAGTTTCTGAGTCTGTTGCTCCTGATTTGAGTGCATCTTTGTATCATCAACAAACAATTGTAACTGAAAGGTAGTCAATAGTCCTTGTTTTAATACTATTATTCATACCTGGGTTTTGATTAACAATTTGGTCAATATTATTGTATTTAAATTTTGCGTGGTTTGTTTCTGGTGTATGTGATTTTATGGTGACTACATCTCTCCTGCAGGGAACTTGAACAAGAGCCAGGTGCCCAGGACCGCAGCCCACTTGCAGAGTCTGATTTGGAGAACAATGTAAGATTTTAAAATCATTCTGAGTGATACATTGACGAGCAATCAATAGTTTAGATGGTATTGAATCTTATTTGAAAAGATATTATCTGATAATTGAATCCCAAGCAAGATCCTTGGTGTTTTTATTCAGTTGAAATCATTAGTTAAGACACATGCACTAATATAAGGACCCAAAATAGCAAATCATCACGGTGAAGGAATTTTTAATGAAACATAAACAAAGGGAGAGTTATCATTCATCTTGTAAATGCAGATTGGTTTCTGAAGCTATCCCACCACCATTGTTTGATTTACTTATGTCACTTGCCTACTCTTCTAAAAGCTTAAAGCAGATAGGTGGAGGTCCAAATAAATTTATATCTTTGAGACTGTTACTTCATCATAAATGATCTGCTTGCCCCAAAATGACCCGGCCCATGTGTAAAGCGTGCCGCGAGCATTCATCCTGAGCCAGGATCGAACTCCAAATCTTCCTAATTAAATTAAATTAAATTTTAGTATAAGATAAAGTGGGCATTTGGGTTATTCACTCTTAAAGCTCAAAGGATTCTTGCTTGGGGAGCATATTATAAACATAACATCGTTCTTAGACCTCTATCTAACAGCTTAAACTTTTAAATATTTAGTTTGTAACAGCTGCAAATAACTAGAATGATCCTTTTTCTTTCTTGACTAACAATCTGATCTTCTATGCTGTTTTTCTTTTTTCTTATTTTAATTGTGTCTCCCGGCAAAAATTTAACGTATGAAACCTGTAATCCTTTTAAGAATGAAAATAGATTTGATGTTGTTGTCAAAATTTTCCATGCCATATCACCGTCTACTGTTTCTCTTGACATGGTTAGAAATATTTCAGTAATTGAAATTCGTAAGTGGGTTGTAATAAAACACAAGTTAGCTTAGCGTGGAAATTTTCAGGTTAAGAAATGATGGAAGCTTTCTGCTTATATCCCGTGCCATGCTGCATCTATTTCAGCAAAAAAGAAGACCGATTCCAAGAATTTAAGTTTGTTTCGAAGTATGCGGGATTCTTGGGCTGTTTGTTTTCTCCTTGGTTCCTTAAATCATCTGCTGATCAAGATGTTCTTCAAATATCAAACTGTTAATATATATTTAATGTACATAAATAAATGCATGTATATATGACCTTATGTGCTTCCGAAGATTGCGTACTTCCTGATTGTTAAAAACTAAATTAATAATATCATCTCACTCCTGTGGCCATTTTAGGTAAATGTTATGCTATCTATTGCTATATCTCAATTTGACAACTAGTTCAATTTAAGGCGCCTATTTTTAAATTTCTTAGTAATTATGTAAATCCGGTTATACAAACTATTGTTACGTTTACTATCTTTTGAATTTTCATTCTGCTATGATTTTGTGCTAAATTCTTGGTTTTATATGGTACTGAAGTCTGCTAGTGAAAAAATCAAAATTATTTCGGTGAATTTCCTCCTGTATATTATTCCAGCAGTCCGTGCTTTACAATGTTACTCTTCAATGCAATTTGGTATTGCTTTTCACTTAGAAACCCAAGCTCGATCATATACAAGTAGAAAATAATTTTCCAGTGGCATTGAGCTACATAGTTAGCGTTAAATTACAGTCCCTCCTAAGTTTATCAAAATATAGCATTGCAATTTTCCCCTCTAGGCGATAATCATACTTTCTTGAAGCATAGGCATATGTCGAGATTAACGGATATGGATCCCCTGTAATTGAAAAAAATAAATAAAATTGCAGGGATTGTAGTTAGTGATCTATTCATTGAATTTATCAAACTAAATTTCTAAAAAGAAATTTATGATGTAATAAAACATATTTAAGAAAATAACTGAAGATGATCCTGGTCTTAGATTCACATGTGGTATCTGGCAGGCTTTTTGTTGAAGCCCCCATTAAAGGTAATTGACACCTGGCATTTGCAATTACACATTGTTGCTAGTTTTGTTTGGGGCCTATGATGTCACCTCTTAAATTTTATTTGAAAAAATGAAAATTCGTGTCAACTACCGAGTACTCTCATGCATTTATTTAAAGTACTAATGTTTATTATAATTTAAAGTCTCTTCGTATGCGCACCTTCTAATTTTTAGAACTGCATGGTATCAATCAGCAAAAGGGCTACTTATGAAAGATGTAAAGAAACATTTATATGAAACTATCCATACTGGATGCGAATGACAACTAGAATAGAAGGAAACAGGGGATACCTATCGAACTGTACTCCTCTCATCTCCTGTACTCCTCTCATCTCAAGGTGTACGTTTGCACGAAGAGTTTATAATGTGGGCTATGAAGGACTACATATGATTTGCTTCTATTGTAGCCAATATTGTTGTTTATCGGGCTGAGAGGTGCTTTGGAATAATATAGGAGCAAAAACATGTTGGGAGCAAAATTTACCACAAGGAGCAATTAATCAAATGAGGAGCAACTCTATCCGAGATGCGTAAGCGCGCACGTCAAGCAATATAGGGTTTAATGTGAGTCCCAGATTATCATCCTCAGGAAATAATTATAAAAGTGACGTTTAAAAGAAGTGTAAATAAAAAAAGAACAACTGAGAGCACATAGTAAGTAAGGAGCAATTCGCTTCAAAGTGTAGATTCGTTCTCAAACTAAGGTTAGCCAACAAGCACTTGTCACCAACTGATTGAACAAAGTCAACGAATCTGAGTGACTAAGAGCTGACTTTTTGCCTTAAGTTTTATTGAACTTTGCCTTGAAGAAAATTAGAAAACGTGGGAGTTGGGAGCAATAAATAGGAGATAAAGAGATCAGGAGAAACAACGATAGAAACAGAGAGCAAAATAGTAACAGTGACAACAATAATATAAATAGAGAGCAAAATGAGAAATATGGTTGAAAATCAAGTAACAAAAAAAATAAAAAATGTAGACTCCAGACTAAAAAAATCGTAGGCTTAGGTTGGTATTTTCGCCCTCTTGGTCGTTCCTACAATGTCATAGGTTTTCAAAAATAAAATGTGCTTCCAGCATCCTTTCAGGCTATAGAGATAGATTGCTCTGTCATCACATTTCGCTCCCTAAGTAAACTGAAGCAAACATGCCTTGCTCCAAATTACGTCAGAAGTCTCAAGTTGAAACTCAAGGGAGATCATATTTTCCTTCTCAGAAGAGCATGGTTGAAGGGATCGCTAGCAAAAGCGATTTACATATGAAAGTGCTCCTCCTTTTGGGTATTCCTCTGACTCAGAGCCAAATACTATAAGACTTCTAATGTTGCTCCACACTGTCTTGTGAGGGTCTCATCGACCGAGTGGTCCCAGGATGACGCTGCAAATCAAGGGGCATCACAATATTAGAACATTAAACCAAGAAACAACACACATTTCATTAGAGAAAATAATTTTTCATTACAAGTTCAACCTAAGACAAAGAGGGATACTTCTACTTCACACTTGCCTACTAAAATTTACTAGCTCATACTAAGGAGCATAATGAAATCCTAAATACAAAAAGAAAATAATTAAAAAAAATAAGAGAAAAAATTCCTAAGGAGGACGTCGAGTCCTCTCCAAGAGTGCCAAAAGCTTTTGAAAATGGTGATTTCTTCAGTATTTATAGGTGAAAGGTTCCTTAAAGTTGCTGTCTTGGCCATTAATTTAATCAATGGTGCAGATTTCGTCAGTGCTCCCCTACTCAGTGACGTTGCTCCTGACAAATTAGCCCTAAAACCTTCTTTTGCTGAATTTTGGAGATGTAGTGCTGCAACAATGGGAACTTTCAAACATTTAATGTGGCATATTTTCTTGTTCTACTCATTAGAGGAGCTGTGTATTTAGGTACGCGTGTTCAACTTGAGTTTGTTTTTTTTTTTTTTTCATAATTGACCCTAATAATTATTATGAGGCTCTAATAATTATAGTAAGTGATAAAGAATGATGAAAGTCGCTTTTCGGAAGAAAAGTGCAGATACCGGTTCCGCTAGTCGGTATAAATGCGTACCGATAAAGTATCCCAGAAAATTATAATAAGTGCATGATAATTTCTAGAATTATATATAGGACTTGTAAAACGAGTTTCAAGTTAAAATAATGAGAACTGGTGTCAGAAACTGATACTGGCTATGAAAAGCGCGTACCGGAAAGGTGCTTCGAAAAATATAAGAAAAATATGATAATTATTTTAAAATTGTGTAGGTTAAGAATCCTAAGTTTGGAATTAAAATGCTAAGCGTAGCAATTAAAGTTAATACTGTGTGTTAAATGCTTAAGTGACTATATATATGCTTATTAAGGCACAAAATCCTAGACACTCAGATTTCCTATGTGACTTGTTGAGGGTGGCTGACCAGAATACTGTTCCATTGGTCTTCGCCTCCATTTCTTGAGCCAAGTTGTCATCTTTGCTCCATCTCTTCATCTCTAAACACCATTACCTTGGGTGGGTTGGTCTTGTGAGGTTGTGAATCCCTTGCTGAGTTGTAGCCCCTGGTTGAGGGTGAGGAGGTGCTGACTTTGAGAGTTGGCTTGTGGGAGCTTGGGGTTGGTATTTTGAGCTTCAAAGTGCCACCTTTGTGAAGAAAAAAATCTTCTTGTTGTGCATTTTTGTGGCCCTTGGTTGCTGCACAGTGGAGTGGTGTAGGGAGCTCCTTTTCCCTGCCATTTTCTGTTTTGAGAAGCTTGGTATGCATACTCAACCTTTGATCATGAGTTTTTGGTTAAAAATGGAACCTTGATGCATGTAATGAGCTTAAGATGATAACCTAACGTTGGGTAATGCTTAACACACTTAGAAATGCATGTTTAAGCTTCTGTAATCGGTAAAAGTTGGACCTTTGGTTTGGATTTTCGCGAAATGCAGAATCTAGGTTCTGTCGCGAAATATTCGGATATTTTGTTGTGAATATTCGGATGTTGATATCCGAATATGGGTATCCGGATATTGATATACGGATATGGGGATCTGAATATCCGGATATGGATATCCGGATATTGGAAGAGAGATATCCGGATATGCCCCGACGAATATCCGGATATTCTGGAATTTCGAAGAACAGTAGCTGCACTGTTCATACAGTAGGATAGTTAAACACACATGACATGAATATCTGTTGCACTGCATAGTTTTGGAAATTATATTAAATTACTGCTTTTGAACTTATATAGCACATGTAAGTGAGCTTGGGGTGGAAGATTATTGAGGACCCCTTGTCTTACTGAGATTTCTGGTTTAGAGATCTCACCCCGCGTTTGGGGAATGCTTATTTCAGGTTCAGGTAATGCGGGGGTTGAGACCTCTAGTGGCAGGAGGTCAGAGCTTAGCTGATAGATGTTACATGTTTATGCTGCTTATGCTGATATGCTGTTATGATTGGATGTTGGATCCTATTTACTGTCTTATGCATTTAGCTTCAGTTTATGGATTTCTCTGTTGAGACCCTGTTTGTTATGATGTTGATTTGGTGAGCATGGGGATTGTCCATGCCACTTAGACTTGATTATGTCTTGCTTTATTTGGAGTTGTAATAACGTATCAGGATATTGTCCAGACTATGTGTAGTAGATCCGTGACATAGATACTCACTTTATCTATATATATAAGGTATTCCAGTTAGATATCTTTTTGCAATTTACATACAGACGATATTTTATGAAATTGATTAAGTAATCAACTCGGCTAAGTATAATGACGTCATAATTGAAATGAAAAGATATTCCGCATTTTTTTTAATTAAGCGCAGCTTAATACGATGATATGTTAACAAATCGGGTATACACGGGATGTTACATCTTGAGCATTTGGCAGGACGTTTTGATGGATCATAGATTAACTTGAGCAATGGATTTCAAAAGGAGTAGACAAAGGGTCTATGATGATGGCCAAAATTATCTGGTGAAGAAGTTAATCTTGAAACCAAAACAAGAATATCATTTATTCTGGACCAAATTCACTATCACTATTCAATTAACCAGCAACAATGGGAATTTCCAAACATTTAATGTGGCATATTTACTTGTTCTACTCATTAGAGGAGCTGTGTATTTAGGTACGCGTGTTCAACTTGAGTTTGTCTTTTTTTCAAGCGGAGTAAAATGACCTAAGACTCTTATTAGGGGTGTCAAGAAAGGTCATGACATGTGAGTTGACTTACAACACAATACATAAATTCGTGTTCGTGTTGACCTGCTTAAAAAATTCGTGTTGTGTCGAGTGTCAACACGAATTCGACTCCTTTTTTATAATTTTTTTAAAT